TCACCAATTAATATATATATATATAGAGAGAGAGAGAGTGAGAAATCATATGAGAATGGTAGATAGTGAAATAAATAAGAATGATCATGAACCATTGGATCAATTACATCAATGGTCATTATAAAGTCAAAATTGAATTATAATGGTCAAACCTGTAGTGGCAAAATTGTAATTATATTGTTATTTCATGGACAAATAAATATCTTGGAGGACAATAGTGTAATTTCAGCAAACAATAAATTTAGTGGGCCCCACTCATAATTATTGTCAACTAACCCTCTCTCCTCTCTCTTCTCTACTATCTCTCCCGTTTATCTATCGCTCTCTCTGTCGTCACCCCGCCGGAAGCTCACAGCTCTGCCACTGTTCATAGATTCCGGCACGCCACCGCCACCGCAACCGCAGCGAGCCCGCAGGTCATGTCGTCGCAGTCGTCAGACCCACTGCCCCCACCGTTCGCCGTCCGACAACTCGTCCAGAACTCACGGTGAGAGTGCTCACGTCGACGGCCACCGCAATCGCCGCCGTCAATAAACCTTCACCTTGCCTCCTCTTCCAGCTACTAGTCCGCCGCTTCGCCTCATTCGTCCGGCCACAGCATCCTCGCCTCGCCTCCGCCATCCACCTCCGCCGTCCGCCATTCGCCTCCGCCGTCCGCCATCTTCTTCCAATTACAGGTCACCGCCATCCGCCATTTGCCTCGCTCCGTCATCTGTCCGACCACAGCATCCTCGCCTCGCCGGCCCACTGCATCTCTGCCATGTCACCCACCAGAGAAGTTGAAGGTCGCCGGCGGCGAGAACCAACACCCTCTGCCGCGCTGGCCATCGCCCGCCGCCACTGAGTGCGTCGCCGACAGAAAGATGTTGTAGCAAAATATATTTTTTTACCGAGTTCTAAATCGAAAGATTCGTTCCTTGCGTCGATTTCTCGAGGAAGGAGGTTCGGAATCTAGGGATGGTGTTGATAACACATAATAGAAAAATAAATCCTAAACACTCTAATCAAGATAGTGGTTTTTAATTATCAACTAGATAGAGAATTCAAACAATGCAAAATCGAACTTAGAAGAAAAGATGAGATCAAAGGATAAGAAGCTAAGGAGTCGGGGATGATGATTTTCTAACCAATGCAAATATCAAGCTAAGATCATTCGGTTAAATGATTCGAGCAACCTAACTTCTAGAGATAGTTCTCAATAACTCTTCATAACAAGAGGATATCATAGACGACATCAAACAAATCACACGACACATAGACAATACGTTTCTGAACAAGTCTATTTCCTGCGAGCCTAGATCGATCAACTCCTCCCCTTTCGGTTCTAAGAGTTGATTAAATTATCCTAGACGATTGTTAATCTACTAGTTCGTTGGATTTAAACACATCACACAAGAACGAATCATATTCAATTGGAAATCAATTGCAAATCGAAGTGTCACTCTTCGACAATAATCAACACTCAATGCACGAGAATTATAAACCATAGTTAAGCACAACTCGCATAAATTGAACGATCAACAAGCATGATAATCACAATTAAATTCTAAACGTCATCATCATCCCCTATCCCTAGTGAAACGAATTAGCTACTCATATGGAATTCAAAATCAACAATCTCAACAATCAAATCCATCACATTCATGGATTAGATGAAAAGAGAAACTTACGATTAATAGAAATCCAATATTCGAATCCAATGACAAAGCTAAATCCGGAAAAGTAAAGAGAGAATTGAACAAAAAGAACGATCTAAATTTGAGTTTTAGAGATAGAGAAAGTGAAAAAATAATATTGGGGATTGTTCCCACGAGTCTAAGGATCGTTTTTATATATAGTGCTCGAAAAACGGAGCTAAAACAAGTAAAAACGGAGAAAAATAAAAACAGGGGCGAACGGGTCGCGACTCGCGAGTCTGACGGGTCGTGTGGTCGCGCAGGCTCTGTTAAAGTCGTGAATCGCGACTTTGTGCTCGCGAGTCGCGACCTTGGACTCACGAGTCGCCACTTTTCTCTCGCGACTCGCGACTTTGGACTGCACTGTGTCATTTTACGTTTCGGGCTTGTTTGGGCTCGTCCGAACTCGGAATTGAGTTCTGTTTTTCCTACGCGTCGCTTACGAACCCATCTATCCAGTTGTGCTCTCGAAACCAACTTTTCCTGATTAAAAAATTCGCCCGAAGCTCCCGACCTACACATAAAAAACGACAAAACACAAAGAAAACCGGAAAAACCAAACGAAAAACACCTAAAGACTCAAAATGAAGGAAAACACATAATAAAACACGAAACGGACTAAAAACTAAAGGAACGACCTAAAACGGGGAAAAAAGAAAAGCAAAACGAGCACGAAAAATGCAACAAAAATGGGACAAACAAAAGGCAGACAAGAACTTTACATTTATAGAATTTGAGGCATTTTTTTGAAAATTTGATAAGTTTAAAGGACTCAATTGTAATTTTATAAACTTTAATATATTACAATTCAATTCATGAGTCAAATTTATAATTTACGAAAATTTAAATACTTGCACATTAATTTTAGTAAATTTCACGTTAGGATAATTAAATTGCACATTAATGTTATGTAATTGCACATTAATATTTTTTTATAACATTTTATATATCTTTTTTGTGCACTTTTTTTCGATAAGTGTTTTTCACATTATTTATCTATAGGTATGTGCTTTAAAAATATAAATAACCAAAAAAACCGAAATAACTTACATTATTTATTCTAAAAATATTGTCTTTAATATTTTTTATTTAATACTATATGTTATTTTTTGATTAAAAAATAATATATATGTAAACAGACTATAATGTGCAATCTATCAAATATTAATGTGCAATTCGTCCAACACTACGGTGCATGGTGTTGGTCTATATTGTGCATATTGAATTGACCGAACTTTTGTTCTGAATCAAATTGAAACTGCCATAATTAATTGGTTTACCCGGTTCGGTTAACCGAATTATTCTAAATAACTGAAATAATTTTTTCTTTATATTAAAATTATATTTAATATGTTAATAATCTTATTTATTATTTTTTATATTATGTTTGGTTGAATACATATAATACACGACATACCAAATTCAATAAAGTACAAGCACACAAACACAAAAGTGCATAGTATAACATTCATGTGCATTCTATTGAACGATTTTTTTTATGTGCATTTAAATTTTAAGAGAC